TCCTCCTCCCTCCTTCCTCCTCTCTCCTCTCTCTCTCTCTCTCTCTCTCTCTCTCTCTCTCTCTCTCTCTCTCTCTCTCTCACACACACACACGCACACACACACACACACACAACACACGCACAACGCACGCACGCACAACACACACACACACACACACACACGTGACACACACACACACACACACACACACACACGCGCGCGCGCATACTATGCAAATACAAGCAGGCGCGCGCGTGCATGTGTAGCTGAGCATGCTTGTTTGTGTTCATTGTGTGCGCATGCGCGCGTTCGCATTTGAGTGCGCTCGCGTACGTTTCAATTGCAACAATTATAAGTGAAGATTTATACCGCCTATCGGTATACAAGACAGCTCGGGCGACAAATTTATTAGCATATTTTAACTATTCATCCCATGCCTGCACGGCGCACACGGGGCTAGGTCGCTGGGGCCAAGTGCAATGCCGTCTTTATCGGGTCACCGAATCATTTCTTATTGCAATCACAACTTGACCCTATTATTCGTTGTCCGTTTTATTAAATTCGCACGTAAGTGCAGTAGCATACGTGAATTCCACCCGCAAAAATACGGCTGAGTATACGGCTACATTATTGAACTTGACGAAAATTCCGCTCATGGCCATCATAATATATTCTATGTGCTAGATTATAGACTTGTGGGTATCAGGGCGTTTCAATGTATTATAGCGTCTACATCGTATATATTTATCTCAGATATCAAATGATGTAGTGTGCTGGTGTTAAATAGGCCATAATGAATACCCTCTGAATATCTGATACCCTTGATTCAGCCTCAATATATAGTACTTGGTTACTTCCGTGCTATATAGTTATTATAACGTTATGTAGGCAGCGACCAACGCGTTTACATTATTTCACACAGTTATATATTGCATGTTAGCAAGATAACCATAGAGTTTTGTTGACTGCATGTGTAATTCAATGTTGCCCAAGACAGGAGGTCGATGGTAACATGAATTTTCGAGCAAATATTACTAATGAATGAACGAGGAACGCACAACACATAACCCTGAAAGGAACAACGAACACAAGCTCTTACTAACGAATGAACGATGAACACACAACACACAACTCACGAAGGAACAACAAACACCAGCGCGTACTAACGAATGAACGATGAACACAACACACTACATACGAATCAATAACGAACACCAGAGCGTACTAAGGAATGAACGACGAACAAACACCACGTATCAACGAAAGTGCAGAGCAGAGAAAACTATGCGAAATGTGAATACACTTAATGCGATTAATGTGAATATGACAATTTCCCAAAATAAAAAGAACTTTATACACTAAAAGAGCTGCTTACGCCCGTGGGGTTGGCGAGAGAATAAAAGAGGATAATAGTAGCGGAATTTAATCTCCGCTATCGTAATTATGTAATAAATTAACAATGCAACTTTGCGCTCGGAACTGCTAGCGCAGTGATCCGTCTAATTTCGTGGATAATCAGCTTCGCAATGCTGTGTAGGTTAGTGGCTATCGACCTAGAGATTTAACTATATTTATTGATATTGGCGTGATACAATCGGTCAGATGCAACTATGACTACCGGGGTAAACGCGTGAGATAGGTTGGCGTAGAACTGTTAAACAGAATATGTGATTACGCTCGAATGGGTGGCTTTCGAATGCAAGCGAATCGAATGGGTGGCTTTCGAATGCAAGCGAATCGAATGGGTGGCTTTCGAATGCAAGCCAGCGGGAAAGAACTTCGATTCACGGGTGACTAGCTTAATTGTGTCAACGTGGGGAATCTGATATAGTTTATGCCGTCCTATGAAGAAAAGAGAAACTGATTTTTACTCTGGACAAGAGACAGAAAGAGTTCGCGAATGCTTGCGATTTCGGTGTAGTCAAAATTATACATTTAGACTTAATTTGGATCTAATATTAACATAATTATTGTGAGTGACCTATTGAAAAGAAGGCGAGAGAAACAGAGAACGCGAGAGATATCAACACAGAAAATAAGAGAGAGAGAGAGAGAGAGAGAGAGAGAGAGAGCGCGAGAAAGCGCGAGAGAAACGATGCAAGAGTGATAGAGACACTAGGAGAGACAAACATAGCTACAAATGTAGCCTCGCTTCGCCAGATAAATGCATACAGATTTACATAACTCCCCGTACCGGCCACCGCATGGCCTAATAGCCATCGTAAACAACAATTTGAACCATTGTGTGTGTCACCTCGGTGGGACCAGCCACCTGTGGCAATTACTTTATGACACGTCGACGTGGGAATGAAAAACAGAGAAAACGGGACACTGGGGCCTCCTTTGTCAACGCCGTTGGTCTCTTATCTCCGCGCCCAGCGTTTCTCCCGATTTCAGCTATCTGTTCCTTTCCTCCGTTCTATCTCCAGAAGCTTCACACCGCCGAGTGATCCCGCGTATCGATCTACATACGTAACGTAACGTAACCTAAGGTAATATACGTAACCATAGGTAATATAGGTAACCATAGGTAATATAGGTAATATAGGTAACCATACGTATAACGTAACGTAACGTAACGTAACGTAACGTAACCTACGTACGTATACGTAACGTAAGGTAACCTTTTACGTTTGTACGCGACACGCGTGCGCAGAGGCGACATACGAGTCGGCTCTCTGGGTATACCTATATATACATTGTACGTGATACGCGGCGCTGCCTGGTAAAC